GATCAAGGCCATAGCGAGGGAGAGCTGTTATTCAGTGCAGTGATTCTGCCAGGGCACACTTCACTTTGGAGGTGACATTTGGCAATGTCTGGAGATGTTTTCAGTTATCATAGTACAAGGCTGAGGGATGCTGCTAGTGTAGCAGGCAGATATACTGAACATCCTACAGTACACAGAATACCAGAAACCTCTGCACTCCCAACCAAGAATTATTTGGTCCCAAATGTTAGTTGAGCAGCCCTATTTTCGTGAACTTAAAAATAAAAAAAAAATGAATTAGGAGAATGATATCAGGAGATATAAATTCAGAATTATTGTGAGAATTATGACTTACCTATTTCTCTGTAATTTCATTCTTCTGCAATTCTGATCTTCAAACTTGGAGCTTCAAAGAACTTGTATAAAGGATGCCTCTATTATCATATTTACTGCTGAATTATCTGGAAGAGTACAGCAATGGAATAACTCAAGCATTAATTCATAAGGGCCTACCTATATAAAGAATATTACATACATATCCACACGAGGCAATGTTGCATCATTAAATTACACGGATCTGTGAGTAGTAACATGCAAATATGTCCATTAGATATTGAGTTAAAATAAATTGTTTATAAATTTGAGGGAGACACTATCTCCTTGTATTAAAAAGTGCAAATTTATCATGCCGGCAATAAGTTAAAAGAGAAAGTTTTGAAGTGGCAAAAATTGACTAGAATGGTCACAATTATGCTTCATTTTTATTACAGAGGTTATACACTTAGATTTGTTACAAATATTGCTAAATGTGGGTCGGCTCTTAAGGAGAGTAATGAGAACCTTTCCTTACAACACAAAATTTAAAACTTTAAAAAAATGTATACATACTTGAGAATTTGAACTGATAATTTAAGTCATCCTTCTTGTCTTCATTACCGGTTTTATTCTCTGAACATATATTTAGTCTGTCACAATGAGTCTCCACTAGACCAACTCTGGTTACAGAACAGCATAGAAAGGAGGCAATCTATGTCTTCGTGGAATCTATTGCTGCAAGGGCGTGTATAACTCTGTGTGTGTGACATATATTTAGGATTTTGTGGCGTTCTTAAAACATTTTCCAGAAACAAGCTACAGAACCCTTAATGAGCACTGATGTCTCCAGATTTTAGGGTGAAGCCCTAAAGAACTGTCAGTCTAAGGTTTCTCCTGAAAATCACCCCAAGCCTCCTTTCCTTGCTGAGAAGGAGCTGTCATGAATAAACTTAATGGTGTTGCAGGTGCTGTTTACAAAGACTTGCTAGGGAAGCTGCCATTCGACTGGCCTTTACTTACTTAGGAAGTCACCATCAAACCCTCCGGAAGCTGTTATTGTCAGACTTTTCATTCATGCTGCTGCACAATATGCACAGCTCTTTCTTAGGGTGTGTGTAGAATAAACCCTCTGACCTCTCTTGGGTGGCTTCCTCTCAGCTCATGTGCCCTCTGGATGGGCTGACGCTTCTTGCCAAGATTCCAATCCAGTCTGTGAAAGCATGGCCCAGAAAGTAACAGTTTGTAGATGGTTTTGTTCGTCTCCTCTTCCTAACTAGAAATCAATAGGAAAACACAGAATATCTTAGAGGAAAGTGAAATAAAATGAAATTTGTAATTATTTTCGTGGGCTTAAAATTTTTGAAATTGCTAATGAAATACCATTTTTGGTAATGAACAAAATTATTTGATTTCCTATCCAATTCAATAACATGAATAAAAAAGTCTTTTCCTCATCAAAAATCACAGGAAGAGAAGTCTTGTTATGCAAAACTCTTAGTAGAAGTCAGTTTGATTTCATCAATTTTCTTGAGGATCCTAATATTTTTCTTTCATTTAAATGCCTAGTCATGGTTTTAAAACTTTCTGGGATTCAACAGATTAAACTACTATGAAGGGAACTTGCCATTCATAAATCTTAGAGGGAAAAGAACATATGCAACCCAATTGAAATGCTAGTAACATCTTTTCACTGCTCAATCCATTCTTTTCTTTCCCCAATTTTCTGATGAAGGAGAAGAAAAAGAAAAACAATGAAATCAAGTTAGGAGGATAGTTCCAATAGTTGGTACATTGCATACTGTTGTCTTCCTAGTAGTTAGGGTACAGTGTATAAGCCTGATACCTTGTCTAAACAATATTAACATAAAACGTCCTTTTCAATAAATAGAAGCTAGCTTTATAGCTATCACACACACACACACACACACACACACACACACACACACACACACCATGTGTGTGTGTGTGTATTTTTCTTTATCCATTTCTTTCTTTCCCTTATCACAGTTTGTCTTTTCTTTGAACAGTTTCTTTCCAATTCACAATATGCATTGTACATTTCAATTCCTATTTAATTGTTATTACTAGTGAACTAATAGGATTTTTATATGTATGAATGATTTCTTTGTGACTATTGTCTTGTGCGTAAAGTCCAGTTTATCATGGCTGAAAAGTACTCCATTATATTAAAAAACACCTTTTTATCCATTCTGCAGTTATGGGAATTTGGTTTGCTTCCAAAATTTAGCTATTACAAATTATGCTGCTGTAAACATTGGTGCACATATATTGCTGCAGTGTGTTGTTTTTAATTTTTTTGCAAAAATATCCAGAAGGGGAATAGCTGGATTGAATGGGACTCCCAAATCTGGTTTGTTGAGAAATCTCCACAATGATTTCCAGTGGTTGTACCAGTCTACATTCCCACTAATAGTGGAGAGAGGTTCCTTTTTTCTCAACAGCTCCTCCAGCATTTGTTACTGGTTGATTTCTTGATGATAGCTATTCTTTCTGTAGTGAGATAGACTTTCAGTGCTGTATTAATTTGTAGTTCTCAAATGATCAATGATGTTGAGCAGTTTTTCATAAGTTTATTTCCCAGTTAGTGTTTCTTCATCTGAGAAGTGCATATTTATCTCAGATGCTCATTTTTGGATCGGGTCTTTAAATTTGGGAGACTATATTTTTTCAATTCTTTATATATATTACAAAGAAATCCTTTGTCTAATGGACAAATGGCTATCTTTTTTCCATTCTGTAGTTTGTCTTCTCATCCTATTGGTGATTTCTTTCGATGTGCAAAAAATTTCTTAAGATGAAATCCCAGTTGTTGATTCTTTGAAGTACCCCAAATAGTTTGAGTTTTGCTCAGGAACTCTCTTCCTACCCCTCTACCTTTGTCTTTCAGCAGATTTAGGGTTTCTGTTTTATTATTTAGATCTTTGATTCATTTTGACTTTAGTGCATGGTGATAGATATGATCTAGTATTAGTTTTTGGCATGTGAGAAGCCAATTTTTTCCAGTACCATTCATTAAAGTTTCGATCTTTCTTTCAGTGAACATGTTTGGCTTCTTTGTCAAAGATAAGATGACTGAGTATGTCTGGGGTTGCAGCTTCATCTTGTATTCTAGTCCACTGATCCTGAGGCCTTTTTCTTTGCCAATACCATGCTGATTTTATCACAGTAGCTTGTTGTATAATTTCTTCAGGTCTAGGATTGTGGCTCCATTCATTCTGCATGAATTCAATATAGAACATGAGAGCGAGAAGGAATAAAGCAGGTTTACCTTTAAAAAAATGTTTTCAGTAGACTAAAATACAGTATACTGCATGTTTTTAACCCCCGGGGGGGGGGGGGGAACATAGTTGTACTTTTCTTTTTCTTAATAGCCTGAAAACTTTGGTGAGATCAAATCATGTATAAACCTTGTGTCTCATAAACAGTTAACGCTTTTGTGGCTTATTTATAACCTTGGTTATATTTTATTTTGAAATAGTGTTTTGTGCTATTTGTACTTTCTAAGACATTTCCAGTCATTTCGAAAGCTTATACATGGCATCAGAAATAATCTTATTGTGCATTGTGTCGGACTCGTCGGCATGAGGCCTGCATAGCTAAGAGTTTTGTGCTTAGAAGGATCCTGTGCTTAGCATTTAATGCTTTCTCATGGCCACCATAAATTCTTAACGACATTACCTGGGGTTTTGTGTTTTATTACCGAAGTCTCCTGGGACAGATACTGAGGGCTTGGAGTGCCTGGTCCCAAACATTCTGCTGCTCTTCATTCTTGGGTTGCATTCTAGGCTTGTCGCTTTGTGCAGCCTGATACCCTCGGCTTTGCCCCACTTAACCACTCCCACTCTGCTCCGTGACCACCCAGCAGCTGGACTGGTCATCAGTGAGGGAAGGTTCACCCTGCACTGCTGTTGTACTCTCCTTGAGGGAGCTGACTGCTCATGTGGAGGGTCAGAAATGATATATCCTGGGAATCAGGGGTAAAGCAAAGCAGTAGCTGTGCTTGGCCCGTGCTGAAACCCTACGAAGACTTCACGTTCATCTCTGATCCAGTTAGTAAGTTTATTATAGAATAGAAGCCATCATTTATTAACATTTGCCTGGTATTAGAAATAAGAAGCTAATTTATCCAGTCATGTCATCTGCATTTTACAGTGAGCCCACAACCCAGATACACTATCCTGTATGTGATAAGCTCATTTGTGTATTGAATAAAATATTCTCTTTTGCTTTAGCTAATGCTAAGCTTTGCATTAAAAGCTATTATCATAACCAATTGAGTGATGCTGTGTGGAAAATATTTTGTCATTCTAAGGAACCTGATAAAGATGTCAGTAGCCACAAATATAAATAAAGACTTCAACTTTTAAGTTAGGAATCTGATTCTGTGTGATTTCTTTGTAGTCATATAGTCAAAGTTATGCCCTCAGAGATCCTACAACACAATGGTATATTAACCTAGCCTTCTGGCATCTAAATGACAGTCTGTGAACCATATATATAGAATTTGTAATAAGTATACCTTATCATAATCAAGACCTGGAGGATGTGATTTAAATGTGCTTGTGTTCCATGACACGGTAACTAATTTTCCCTACTCATGTATTAAGGGTGCCATATGCTTACTTCTCCTCCCCATTAAATATGTGATGCATTAACCATCTGCTCTTCTAATCCAACGCTGACAGTCATCAGTTGTGGAGACCCAGGGATACCTGCCAATGGACTGAGATATGGAGATGATTATGTGGTTGGACAAAACGTTTCTTACATGTGCCAACCAGGCTACACAATGGAATTGAATGGCTCCAGAGTCAGAACTTGTACCACTAATGGCACATGGAGTGGGGTGATGCCAACTTGTAGAGGTAAGATAATGACTTTCCATGGTAAGCGTCGTATATTTTCTCATTTTTGTGTGATTTTAAAGTACATTTAAATAAACTTTTATTCTGTATCATTTTCTTTTTCTGGTCTGAAAAATGACAGATCATTGAAAAAAACTTTTAATGTATATGATTTAAAATGATATTTTGACAAAAACATTATATCTTATTGTGAGTAATGACAGTGAATTTTAATGCAAGAAAGAGGAATGGAAGTATAATGTATTCTAATATGTAGTCATCATTGTTACTTTTATTGATGGGTGAAGATCTAAGAAGAATGTGTCCTTAATGAATTCCAACTCAAATTTGTTGAGCCCCCTTATGTCAGGTCACTCAAGGATGGAGAAAAATTACTTTTTCAAATTTGAGACAAACCAACCTGTGTAGTTTGCAACTGTATAGTTTTTCTCAAGCAAAAGCAGAACATGTTTCTTAAAAAAATAAATTCTAAAATTATTCTTTAGGTCAGTGCAGGAGTAAAGTTACTATTTTAAACTGTGTTATCCCACTTGACATAGTTTCATTATTTTACTTACTTTTATGATTATCTACAGAATATCATAAATATATCAATTTACAGTTTCATAATAATTTTCATTTTTGTGAATTGAGATTTCATGTACATGTCTTTGAATTGAGGTTAATGCCTCCTGATGACTTATAATCTAAAATAATTTATACATTTTGGATTTTACAGTTTCAGAAGCATATCACTATAAATAGTATATCCAACATATTGAACATGCATTTTATATTTTAGAAGTTGTTTTATTCACTCATTAATTAATAAAACTTTATGATATTGAAGAACACCAATACAAGTTCTCATGTTAAAATCATTTCTCATTTCTCTTTTTTTCTTTTTTTTATTTTAAAGAGATTAAGACAAAACAGGACATAACAAAGCAGATCAGAACAATACAATGTAAGCAACACAGAATTTCACTAGAAGACAACCCCTACTTAACAGTAACTACCACAATGTCTCTTTGAAATAGTTGAGTATAACTTCATATATAATAGTATCAAACATAATAAAATAGTTTAAAACATTCAAGAGAATGAGAGTTCACAGGGCATTCAGAACTAAATAACAACCAATGGCTGAAAGTTGTTTATACTTTCACATGTAATAAATCTAATAGGGCGTTTCTCAGTTTTAGATTTTTAAGTTGTCACCCTCCTTTTTCTTTACTGTCTTCTACCTTGTCCAGCCTGCCTTCACTTGAGGACAACTTAAAACAACTTAAACAAAACATTTTTAAAATCTACAACTACAAGTCCGATACAGACCATCATCAGTTGTGAAGACCCAGGAATATCTGCAGATACTTGCAATACGGAGATGACCCTCTCTCTAGCTCCTTCTAACGGCTTATTAAAATTCAAAGAAAAAAATCAATATTTACAAATGTAGCTTTTTTTCATGTACTCTAGCCATTATATTATTGCTGGTTTTACTCCAAATTTTGAACTAAATTTCTTCATTTATTAACTTTAGGTTTTAACACAAATCTAAATCATTACAGAAACTACCCTGGGTCCTGTAATCCTAGCCATGATCTGGGTTCTCAGAATACTAGAGGACTGTCTCTAAATTCCTTGATCACAGTGTTATACTGCATGTAGCCAAACCACCAAGCTTCCAAGTCTACGTAAGGGTTGCTGAAAACTAATTTTACTTGACACTAATAATTTATCTGTTTCAGCATACTGGATAGTAGGTCATCCTCTATTTGCCTTCCCTTACCTGTCAGACATGCTGCTATTTGTAAAAGACTCTCTGACAACCATTAGCCATTATGTTGCCAAGAAAAGGTAGCCTCCTAGAGGGACCGATTCTAGGGATGTTTCAGGAATGCTACCCAGAGAATAAAACGTGTCATCCTGTATTGTCCTCCAAAAGGTTGAATTAGCACATATGCTTCTTTTAATGATATTTATTTATTTTTAACAGCCAGAATATTTCAACAGCTGTTTCTAATCTCTTGTAATATAATTTCAGCTGTTACGTGCCCAGCTCCTCCGCAGATCTCTAATGGAAGGCTGGAAGGAACAAATTTCGACTGGGGCTTTAGTATTAGCTACATCTGTTCTCCGGGATATGAGCTCTCCTTCCCTGCTGTCTTGACCTGTGTCGGGAACGGTACCTGGAGCGGTGAAGTTCCGCAGTGCTTACGTAAGTTTAACTTCCCTACTTAAAATTTTGTTTTAAAGCAGCAGTCTCTAAGTTCTTCAAATTCGCTGGAATGTATATAATACTGTTAGGATCCCTCCAAGCCTGTTTACAATTCAAAGAAAGAAATAAGTACCAACCAGTGTAGCTCTTTTTCATATAATCTTTAACCATTATATTCCTTCTGGTCTCACTCCAAATTTTGCATATGCTTTTCTTTTTATGAACTTCTTTATTTTATAAAACTATTATTTAATGTCAAGTTTCTCATAGATTAACTTTACTTCTGGAATTATCTTCTTTTTTATGTCTAGTTTTTCTAGTTCATTACCTTTTCATTGATCCACAAATCTCTTTTTACCAAAAAACTCATGTTGGTTCTACATGTTCATTTAAATCAAGTTGTTCTGATGGCATATGTCATGACAATGATGTACATCTAAAATTACCAAAGGAATCGTAGAAAGCAACAGTTATTATTTAGTGCAGATTAGTGTATTATTTTACCCAGAAAAATTATTTGTCAGGATTAATTTGTAAGAGCATAAAACCAAACAAAATCACACTTATACTATATATATATATATATATATATATATATATATATATATAATATGTATATCACATGTAGATAAAGCATATGTGCCATATATACGCATATATCAATCTATGGCATATGTGCCATATATAAGCATATATATATATATATATATATATATATATATAGAGAGAGAGAGAGAGAGAGAGAGAAGCAGTTTTCCAAAAATGTATACATCAGTAAAAGAAGCACTTTAAATACTAACTTTATTAAGACATTATGAGATTAATACAAGTTACCTTTGGCTTCTGCAATTATAAAAGGTGTTCAAAGTACTGACCATTTTTTCCAGACTTTTGTTAGTATAGTAAAGCGTTGAAGTGTGTATGCATATTTTTTGTGCTCTCTCTCTCTGTCTATATACATATATGTCCATATATGTGTATATTACAATTATTTATATCTCTATATGTGCATATTACAATTACATATGTCTATATATATATATGTTTGTGTATGATATATTATACATAATGCACATGTTATTGTAGCATCTGACGTGATCAGTTCTCAGTCATGAGAACTTGTTCCTGGTCCTTCTCTCCATGTCAAGATGAGTAGAGACCCTTATCTGTCCCTGTGGCGTTGAAGATAAGCAGAGGTCATAGTGTGTATGACCCCCAGAGTTTCTCAGTGTACTCACGGCAGGGACTAAGGCCCCCAGGGCTCCTGGACTTGTTGCTTGCTTCCCTGTGTTTCTGTGCAACTCATGACAGGCCACCTTGTCACTCAGCACAGGACACACAGACCTCCTAACTTTTCCCCTTAAACCACAGCTGCCACTGGCATCCACACTTCTGTAACTGTTCTCTTTTCCTTTTATGCTTTTAGTTTTTTCTAAGAATCCCCTTTCTCATTATCATACTATCACCTTGTTTGCAATTTCCTGTGCGGAAAAACAAATCCTTTAAGAATTTATTTATTCTCCTTGATTTAATAGTAGCTTCATCCCCTTGTTTTTCCTTAAAATGTTTTCAACTTTGTTTATTTATCTGTGCCCTAACTTCAGATTTATACTTCCCAGAGGCAGAAAACTTGTTTGTTTACTACTCAAACTCTGATATATAATACAGTCCTTGACAGCTATCAAAACATACATCATTTTCGTTATTAAAATGGTATGGAATTGGTGCAGGGGTAGAAGGTAAATCAATGTTATAGCGTGGCGAGAATGGAACTGTTCATAGATCCTTGATATAAAACAAGTCAGAGAAGACAGCATAAACATGTTAGTTAATATGAAAAGCTTTGGGTGTGTGTGCACACACCCCCCCCCACACACACACACGCCCAAGGTCTGAATGTTACTCCATATACCAAATCATTGCCAGACCCATTAAAGGTTTAAATATAAAAGTTTTAAATATTAATAGTTTGTTTTTTTACAATTTTTTTAAAAGAGACTAAAACCAAACAAAATAAAACAGAGTAAAGCCAATCAAACAAAACGGTGTAAGTGATACAAGATTTCAAAACAAGATAATAAGAAATCAACAATGGTTACCATAATGCCTCTTGTGTTCCAAGGCACTGCCCATACCTTCAGACATAGTAAAATCAAATAAAAGAGAACAGAATGGAATCAGTGAACCCAATACAGAACTTCAAAACAAGTTAATGGTAAATTTAAAATGGCTATCATAATATATCTTGTTCTAATAATCTGCTTTCTACCCTCTCAGAGGGTAAGATTTCTTAATATGTATTGTAGGAGGCAAAACAAAAATAAAAATTTGGAAACAAAACTTTAAAATTAAAAAAAAATTCTTATTGAAGACCAGTTATTAACTTGAATGTTATCATCAATGTATATAAAACTAGTGACAATATTTATTATATATGAAGTATTTTAAAAATTTTTTAAATTTATTTTTTAAAATTTTATACTAAAGGAAAAAATGACACAAAATTTTGAAACAAGATAATAGAGTAACAATAGTATATTGCATGTTATTATTTTAAATTAATTGTCCAGTATACAGAACATAGGCATTTAATTTTCTTGAAAATATTAACACAAATACTTCTTTTCAATGAATTAATAGAAATTATTAATATAACTATCTTTTAACTATATTGTCTTCTAAAACAAATTTTAAATAAAATATAATCAGGTTAAAAACCTCTTTGTAAACCATGAGATTGAGAAAACAAAGTTAGACAGTTTCAAATATTGGTGTAGATGTGAAACAGTATAAATTTTTATACACTGCTGATGGGTGTTTAAATGGATACAAACATTTACAAACTAGTTGCTATTATTCAGCAACATTAAAGGTATGTAATCTGTTCCTAGGAATTATATTTCTAGGTACTTGGTCTACAGAAATTTTTGTACATACAAATAAGAAGACATACAAGAATGTTAAATCCAACATTGTTCTTAGTGATAAACAACTCGATGTATACATAAATTCATTCATATGTGCAGCATTTACATGAACACGTACATCAGTTAAATAGCCAAGGTCATTAACTTAGAGACCTTCATGAAGAATAGTCTTTTTTCTTTAACACTTTTAAAAATACATCATTTTCTCTTAAAATGCTTGTCCCTGTAAATGGCACCTTTTTCTAAGGTCTATGCCTGAAGAGTCTGAGATTATTGATCTGGTTCACAACATGGGAACCGCCAGGTAGAAATCTGAGAGATATAGTTGGGAATTGTCAATGAAGAGTGTTGAGGGTTGTGTATATACTTACTAGTAGCTCTAATTTCCTGTTATATTTCTGCATGCTTGCTCTGCTCCAGTCACCACACTCCGTATTCCTTTCCCTGTGAGCCGGGTGCACCCCAGCTTGGAGCTGTGGAATGTTTCCTCTCTATGCAGTGTTCTCCCTTGCAAGACCAGTGTGGCTAGCCCACTGTCTTCCTTCCATGTCTCTCTCCAGTAGGATATCCCTTTGCCACCATTTGTAAACTCTGTCTCCACATGCTGCTGTTTGTGACCACCACACACACACACACACACACACACACACACACACACACACACACAGTTCATTTCCTCCCCTTGAAATATTTCTCCCCATAGAACTCATTGCCTTCTCACATACTTTGTTTCTAATTAATTAAGTAAGTAATTATTGCTTCTCTTGGATGTAGATAAATGCTGTAAGGGTAAGATTCATACTCTGTATACCTGTACATTCAAATTCTTAAAACTACCTAGAAAAATGCTTGTCTCTAGTCACTAATAAATATAGTTTGAATATAATTAATCAATTTCTTTAGAAATATTGTCAGCTTGGTCTCTTTACTGATTGTAGAACATTAAGATTTGTTAGTTTTATATAAATTTGGACCTGCTGATCTTTATTCCTCTTAAAAATTTAACACATTATGAAGAGGAAGCAATAAAGTATTGGAATATGTGTGCTAGGTGTTCAGACAAAAAGGAACAAATAACGATGGGTGTGTGTGTGTGTGTGTGTGTGTGTGTGTGTGTGTGTGTGTGTAACAGGTCAGTGTGATCTATGGAGAAAATCTAGAACATCATGGGTTAATTAATTTTGGCAGAACTACCTGTGAATCACATGTCTTTTCAGGGATGTTCTTCTGCAACTTGGAAGGATAGAACTATAGCTATACAACATTTGATTCTGGTCAATCTAAAACTGCAAAATTACGAAGCATTCTGCATTTAATAAAATCCTATGTAGACTTACATCTGAATCAGACTCATACTCTATATATCACACTGAGTTTCTCATTTAGTATTGATTCATGTAGACAGAAGATAGAGAAAATGAAATTTTCAGTAATAGACAACTTCAGTATTTCAGTGCGTTGTCTCCATTTTGTTCTGTGTTTTGCCCTCCAGCAAAGTTTTGTGGTGACCCCGGCGTCCCTTCCCAAGGAAAGCGAGAGGGCAAGAGCTTCATCTACCAGTCAGAGGTCTCCTTCAGCTGCAACGCCCCTTTCATCTTAGTGGGCTCAAGCACCAGATTGTGCCAGGCAGATGGCACTTGGAGTGGCTCATCGCCTCACTGCATAGGTAATGTTAATTAAAGGCTGATTATGCTCTGTAATTGTGGAGTTAATAGGTAGTGGAGACACTTACGTGTTTTTTTTTTAAATCCTAAAAACTACAGTTGACTAAACATGAAAAACACAGTTAAAATATAGAAGCAATTAGATGGCACTACAATAATTATTGGTAGAGTATGTGTCATTATTTTTAGTATTTTAAGTTTCCGGAAGAAACCCTTGTACAATTTGTTGTATATCATAAAAAGCTTTCCAAATAATGCCATGATTAACCATTGTCACTTACTTGCTGTTTATAGCTAATAAAACATATTCATGGGGAATTTGATGCAACACTGTGCAAAAGAATTATGGATTTCAAAATGGCTATAAATATATTTCTGTGGCCTTAACATAATGTCATATTTAGTAAGCTAATAAGATAACCTGTATACAAAGAAAGCAATCCAGAAGCTACCTGTTCTTTCATTCTTATATCTGAATCTCCTGCAGCTTTCAGTGAAATTCAAAGTCATAACTTGTGTTTCTGGGAATAACTTCTAATTCTTCAGGAGAATATTTCCTATGGGAACTTTAGAAAGGTCCTTAGATAAATGCTTTATTCACGTTTACTTGTTTTTTTTTTTTTTTTTTTTTTTTGTACTGGGGATCAAACTCACAACCTTCCGTTTGCCAGGCAGGAGTTTATGCCACTGAGCTAAATCCCAAGCCCCACGTTTACTTCTCTTACAACCTGTATATTTTTCTTTAACTTGGTATCTACAAAATGAATTGAATGTCAGGTACTTTTATAATAGAAAAGGTTCAAAGTTCAAGGCTTTGTACAGGCATAATAAATGCAGTCCTCTTGAATTTCTTGTTTGTGATTAGCAAGGCTTTGCCCCAGGAAAGGTGCTGTTAGATTTAGAGTTCTCATTATTACCTAGGGCACTGTAGGTAAATCTCTGATCCCTTCTAAATGTCTTGTATGGAAGAAATATACGTGTTATACATTTTGAAATAATATTTTAATGCTTTAATATTTTAAATTCTTTGTTTTAGAACCCACTCGTACCTCGTGTAAAAATCCAGGTGTGCCACGGCATGGATCTCAGAACAATACATTCGGATTTCAAGTGGGTATTTCCCTGCAGTATACAACTAATGGAACAGTTTCTTTGGTTCTGGGTTCATAGTCTTGTTGATACACATAGAAAATAATATCTGTTTATGTCTGCATTTTGGAATACAGGAAAACAATTTATTGTGTCACAAAGAGCGGCAACAAAAGAAATTAGGTAAAGATGCTTTAAGAAAGTAGGCTAACTGAGCGTGGGCAAAAATAAAGAAAAAATTGGAGATGCCAAGGAGCAACATAAAAACTCATAAATGAGAGAAAGGAAGTAAATCAGTAAACCCCCTAGAGGATATGAGGGCCAGTCAGGAACATTTAAACTGGAAGAAGTTAAAGGAGAGACTTCCAAGACAAATAGCAAATAAAACCGTGGACATTGAATAAGAAAATTACTGCACATGATACTAACATACCTCTCCAGTAGTGACATTCATTTGGGAAATTTCTGAACAATAATTTAATCATCACCTGATATCATTCCAGATATACTTGGATTGTTATATTATAGCTCTGTAGTGTTCCCTGTCTTGTGCAGCTGATTTTCTTTTTCCAATTGAAATTTTGTGTACATATGCAGCAAGTTTCGTTACATGGATCTAAAAGGAGCCAAAGTGCTTTCCGATTCCAAAAGGAAATAACCAATTTACACATCACTCAATTGCTTTGCATTTTCCAAATTGGGCTATTCTGAGTGAAATTCGATGTGAACTAGAAGAACACCCATTTCTAAAAGAGGAGCTCATTTAAAGTGCCATATTTTTGTTGCTAAAATAATTTCCATTTATCTACAGTTCAGGCACAGCATGAACATTGATTTGATAGTGTTTCCATTCTTCCTGATTTGCTTCAGTCTGGTCTAGATAACAAAAAGAGTAAAACGCTGCCTCAGCCTCCATAGATTAGTATTCTTAGAAAACTTGGGATTCACGTCTCCATAAAAGGTGTTTATCAATGATCTGAAACCTGAAACAGGAGCTACTAGTTCTACAGCACATTAATTTTCCTCATGTAGACAAAGAAACTCAAACGGTGTGACCTGTTTTGATCACAGAGAAAACTGGTGAAACTCTCCTACTAAAATGCAAAATCTTAATGTTAACATCTGTACCTTAACTCAGGATGGTTTTCTGAAACATATGAAACTTTCTCTTATGAATTCTTTGAGGTAGTGAAAATAGAAATGAGAGAGTGCAGAAGTCATTGAACAAAATGAACAGCATCATTAATGTTGCATTGAAATATTCATAATATGACCTTTGAAAAATATTAACATGAATCTAACCTAACCCAGGAAACATTTTATTAGTACTAATAAACATGCACCAGATCACTGTGTTCTGTCTAAAGAAACATGAATCAGCAGATTACAAATCTTGTCATTCTCATTAGATCAGTGTTAATTACAATTTAAAATATACTGAATATGTTAAATTAGGGACCTCAGATTTCTTACATAAATGTGATTGGCATGCATAAATGTATGTATAGGTATACATACTGAATATATTAACCAAATATGTTTACTACCAATATAATTTAAAGTTACATAATTCTGACAATTATTAATGAATTTCATGTAATATAGTCTTATAAGCAAAATATACATGAGCTAACAACTGTTGTGTATAAGAAACAGAAACTATTTTGATCTAACTTCAGACTAATGGTATTGGAGATGGGTATGAATTTGTCCCCAGAAGAAGGAATCCAGATGAGTTTCAACGAGTCCAGGTTCTAGCGAGGCACTGTTAGTCCTGTCCTGTGCTCCCTGTTCATCTGCCTCCTAGATTTCATCTCCATCAGCGGGCCGTGTGGCCAAGATCTCAGTCACGCACAATGATTGTTTTGAATGTAGTTTCAGATTCCAGAATCAGTCAGCATACCCTAAATTTTGTATCCACCCTCATTTGATGAGAGGACCAGTAGTGAGTTAAAAAGTAAAATCACATCATTAGGAAACCCATTCCTCAAAGGGGCAAGAGATGGTTCAGAATTGCAGAGGTGCTCAACATGTTTTCATAATGTTCTGCTTCTTAAACTTCAGTCTTTTCCTGTAGACTTACATGGTATATTTTAGGATATGGTTATGATTATTAGCATAAAAATACATTCCTTGTTACTAGAGATGATGAAAGTTCTTGTTGAAAAAGTACTCCTTTTCTTTCTGTCCAAAATATTGTAAATTGGAATAATTTTGACTAAAAACAAACTAGTGTTGAATAGTGGTGGCAGTGAGCCTGGGAAGGGAGAGCTGTCAAAATGATTGATGCAGCATCTAGATTAATTATGGAGTCAGTGCCAAGCACACACATTTCATTAACTGCTGTATCACTCTGTAAAATGAGCTCGAGGCAATGGAAGGTACATTGTTGGGATCTAGAGTTTGTTTCATAAAGTTTTTATGGCTGTATAATATCTTAAATCTGACCCTTTAGATATTTAATGCTACCAAAATAACTTTGTAATTATGGGTGGTGCTTAGACTGTCATCGAAATTAAGTAAATCAAAGGGATTAAATGTGTTCCATAGTGTTTTATTATATTAAGTGATTAATATGGTGGTGGAATTATAGAAGAATAAAAACATAAATACGTGTTTTATTAAATTAAGATGATAGTGTATTATATAAATTCATAAAATTCACTTTTCTGGAACTAAAAACTCAGGACTGAAGCTGGTATAGAAATGAGTTTGCACGACACACGTGTAGGTAGCAGCACAGAATTCTCACACCCCACTTTCTGGGAAACCTGGAGTGATAGACCCCAAAAATCTTTTATCTTGCCCTGTAACTTTAATCATTTTAAACTTTGTTGAGTTTTCTTCCTTGTAATATTTTTTGAGTTCAAGATTTCCTTCCCACATTCGCTGCCACAATAAATCCAGCTTTTATCTACTTAGGCGTAAAACAATAGTGGTGTGCTCATAAATACAGGAGACACTGGGTCCTTTCAGGGTACACCTTACCCTGGAAAGTGAGTCTTTTAATTTCCTGTATCTCTCCACTTCCCACTTTACACCCCTGCCTGCCTTGTGCACTTTGTGAACCGTCCCTGCCAACCAATGAACTATACCCCATTTCTTTTGCCTAAACAGATGATGTATATTTCAGGTTTTTTTTTTTTTTTTTTTTTTTTTTACTAATTTCTTATCCTATTGTCCTTCTCAAATTTCACTTGTCATTAAAACTACATGAAAGAATTGTTAAATCAGATTGCTATTCTCCATGTGGAGACCCTAAGAAACTATCCCAGAATTTGCTCTACCAACAAGTTTCCAGCCAATGTGGATGTTACTGACCTGGAGACCACATTTTGAAAGCTATTTTCTATTCACTAATTTAAATTTTACATCTTTAGGAACAGTGCCACTTGCAAGGCTTTCATTGTAGATGTTAGCACCACAATGTCCAGTAGCCACATTTGTTTCCAATTTCATTTTCTCGTCTTGAGACTGCATCTGCTCCTTTGTGTTTATTTCCATACTTATCTCTAGGAAACTGTATTTTTCTTTATCTAACTATTTGTATGCCTATTTTATATCCATATACAGTTTGGTGACTCTTGGTATCACATAATTTTTTCAAATTCCCATGATCAAAACTTTTGCCCCTGTGTGTATGTTGCACAGTCAGATATTTGATCATATAAATAGATACATTGTTTATATGTGATGAACTATATAGTTTATATAGATCAACTCTATGGTTTATATATATGAAAGCCCATATATGTATATTATATATACATATATATATGTATATATATGTATATATATATTATATACATATGTATATGTATATATGTATACATATATATATATATGATAAGTTTTCATAGAATTTTCTTACTTTTCTTTTGAATCATTCTTCATTTTTTATTCAGCTGTACTGTATAGAATTTCATCTGAAAGTGTTTTCTTGCACACAAATCTTTCTATTGGTTGTTGTAGTTGAAGTTGCATTGAAACATTTTTACTGACTGTTTTTTTTTTTTTCAGGTGGGAAATGTTATCCAGTTCCACTGCAAAAAAGGTCACCTGCTCCAGGGCTCCACAACCCGTACCTGCCTCCCTGATCTTACATGGAGTGGAATTCAACCAGAATGCATACGTAAGTATAGTGACTAAGACATGATTGTTACTGTAAGTAAGAATCTACATGCATTATTTCTTCCTTGGTGAAAACATGTTTATCTCTATACCACAGATTTACAAAATAGATTTTATGTTATTGTAAAATATCCATGCAATTATATTACTATATCCATGCTCATTTAGAATTATCTAGTCTTTCTAGTGAAGTCAGAAGGTATGAGGCATATATTCTTTTTGTAAATACCTGATAAATGTGGTTAGTTTGGGCACTTGACAATTTTAGGTGGTAATTAGTTTTTCATTTAATAGATCTGCACATATCAATCTGAAGTACTCTGAGAAGGCTCTAACCTAGTGACTGAAGTTTTTGAAAATGTGTAAAATGATTCTCTGAGAATCTGAGGCAAATCTAAGAGGGAATCTATGTTTAAAAAGATATTCCAGAACATTTAGAAAAATTTGAAAACTATTACAGTATTTCCTGCAGCCTTTAAATGTCCATCGGTCTCAAAAGATTAATAACAAAGCCCAATATCATGAAGTGGTTTCTTTTGAAATGTAATTTAAAATAATTTTCACTTAGTCATTTGTGTGTTATTTCCATCTACTCCTTTAAATCTTGCCTCTTATTTTTAAGTCTGAGTCTCTTGTGGTCAAAAGGAGAGTATGCTACAACTGAAACCTTCTTCGGGAAGGGATCTAACTTTCCAGTTGTGCTTCAGCCCAGACAGTACTGAGAGTTTACTCCACCTGTGTTCAGGATAACCCGGAGGACCATGAATGCCATTATGGACTAGGAGATTGCTTCAGAGTAGCAGAGTATTACACGTAAACATCACAAGCTCTCCCTGATTGGCTCATATTTAATTATGGCAAAATTCCTTAAAAGAGAATTCCTGGAAATATGTTCTTTTGAACAGTTGTGTGGGTTGCTGCTAGGGTATTTTTTTAGTAAATCAAGCTTCTTTAATGATCTAAATTTGGAATATGATGAGCTTAACAACTTCTGTTACTGCTGTGAATCTCTTAGTTTCTAATATGTGCCTAATGTGTGCTTTCAGAATGGATGCAGATTATTTGAGTTCATTTTTCTTGATATCTATCCAAGGAGGTTTAAACTAACTGAATGATAGGCTAATGTTACCAAATGATTTATAGTAAATACAAACAGTTTAACACAATGTTTAGTAGGTAGCATTGGCTAATATTCATGGCTTTATGAATTTCCATTGGAGGAAAAGTGGCAAGTAATGATTTTCCAAATAAATTTACCCACAATTTTTTTTAGATCCCACCTTTAATGATGTATATCTGTGAAAAACAGAAAATTTGAAAATTATTTTTATTTTAGAAAGAAAATTCTTTGCAGCATGTATTTCTAATTCAGAAAAGAATGGTCTTTACAAGAAAAAAATAAGGAAAACTAAGGGACTAGGGGTTAGGTATGATGAGGACAAGATTCTGAGTTCAGAGTAGATAAATAAGAGGGTACTTACATGGACTCTACTATGCCTGAGTATTCCATATGTTAAAAATCAAAATATGCTTTCTACATCAGAAGTGTTAATATCAGAGCAATATGATGAGCAATAGTTGCATTTAACCTTGGAAAATGTTTTTATAATTATAACAAAATAATGAAAATGTAAAATATTGTTTTTTAAAAATATTACTTTAAAGTGTTATAAATAACTTAAATTTAACAAATGCAGAAGGCATTTTGTTACAGGGCTTTTTAGACCATTTTAAATTCTATTCTTCATTGTGATTCTCTAAAATTGTGATATTATGTACCTTTCTTGCTTGATTAGTTGAAGTAAGTCTCTTTTTCCTCTCATTTTATCTGTTAATGCCTACCAGTGTTTCAGAGATAGAAAGTGAAAACAACATGCATATTCACATTGAAACATTTTCCTTGGTTCACTACAATAACTACCCAAAGGCATGTTTAAATAATGACATCCAAATGTGTCTAAAAGCATGCTGTGTTTATAGAAGATGTAACATTTATTCTCTCTTCTTAACCTAGCCCACAGCTGTAAGCAGCCAGAGACTCCTGCTCATGCAAACGTAGTGGGCATGGATCTCCCATCCCACGGGTACACACTCATTTACACTTGCCAGCCTGGCTTCTTCTTAGCAGGTGGAACGGAACACAGAGTGTGCAGATCTGATAACACCTGGACTGGAAAAGTTCCTGTTTGCGAAGGTAAATTTTCCTTAATGAGTCGTTTGACCCAAGGGAGGAAACTGTCTAGGCATTTCTTTCAAAAAAGCAGAATTCAAATCATCTTTTTAATACAAAAATTTGTTGACCATTGCCAAGGGTGGAAGCTATGTATGTACTTCTGCATCAGTAAACAAAAATAGCACTCAGATGCTTATATAGCATCTCTTCCACGCTGACTCCTCTTCTTGTCTTTAATTGTGCTTCTAATTTTCTCTTCCAAATAGAGATATTCATTTCCTTGGGCTGTCACAACAAAGTTCCAAACCCTGAATGATGTAACACAACCGAGTTTTATTCTTTCGTAAGTTTGATATCCAGAAGTTCCAAGTAAAGGTGTTAACAAGATCTCGTGCCCTCTATAAGTTTTAAGGAAATCATTCCTTGCCTCTTTCTAACTTGGGCATCTCCTGGCAACCTTTGGTTCACATGTTTACTATCATTTCTCTTCCAACATCGTATGATCTACTTTCCTCTGTGTTGCACTATACTCTAAGGATCCTGGTGCTTCTATTTAGTGCATACACTATATTCAGGATTATTTAACCTGGAAATCTGTAATTGATTATATCCACAAAGATCTATTTCCTACTGAGATCATACCTTCAATCTGTGGGTGAACATGAATTTAGGGAGTATATTTGTAGGAAATAAACACTAGGAAAAATCACTGAAAGTATCTCTGTGTTTATAGCCTCTTACCAGAGTTTTCATAGTAGTCTTCACCTAAGCTTGTTAGGAAAGCCCTATTTAGAACTCTAGTTGTGGCAGTTCTGAACTCAGCCCCTCACCAAACCTACTACTCAGCTAGGGTGATGCTCAGCTGGATCCAGAAGAATTGCTACTTTTCTTGCTTGGTCGGGTTGCTCTCCGCTTAGATATAATTGATATGAGTTTATCTGAGGGGCAAATGTTATGTTGCCAAAAGAACCAGCAAAGGAATTTTCTAGAGTTTGTGTAGCAGGTAATGCGTAAACTTCCTTTCCTTATATCTACCAAAAAATTTTAAGGCTGTCTAATATCTAATCTCTTACAGGATTCACAAATGACAGTAACTTTTTCTTGAAATATCTTTATATATTTCCTCAGCCAGAATGTTATCATGTTTTTCTCTATCTTAAAATTTTTCTATTGAAGGAAATGAAAAACAAATCTTATTATTTAATTGTGTTCACTTGTTATTACCTGTTTCCACTTTCTTGTTCTTCCCTCAGCTCTCCCTTACTAGAACTAATTTAACATCTGTATCACTGCATTATGTGAAAAAATACTCAGTAAATACTTAATGAACAAATAAATGATTTATTGCTTCCAAATTCTGCTTATGCATTCTCCACTTCCTTTATGAACTTATCATTCTTACTTTTTTCTAAAATCTTTTTATTCTCCTAAAAGCTTAGCATTATCCCTGGTAGGGTGAACTACAGCTCTCTTTCAAGTGATCTTGTCTATATCAGCTTTTGTTCTTTTCCAAAAATACTTAATTTTGCAGCCCAAATAATAATGTCAGCCATGTCACCTCCCTTCAAATCCCTCTGAAGACACTCCAGGGTACTTAAGGTAGGTGCTCCACAAAGCCATGTGTGTCATGAGCACCTACAGTTTTGCATCCCTCCTCCTCACCCCAAGTGGGTTTTGTGCTCTGGGCTGCCTTGGTTTAGCATAAAAGGTTTCAGCCTTTGACTCTGTCCAACTTTGGATACACCAACAGCTTAACATTTTGATTCTTTAGCATGAACTCTACCTACAAATAATTCCTGCCTTTTGTCAACAAAAAGCATACTGCAGACTCCAGCTTTCATGTTGAAAGCGACTGCTTCTACTACATGTGTTTCTCCCAGATGAAACACAGAATCCTGACATGACAAGCCAGGAAAGATCTGTTTCTTATCCTACTGGTCTATGATAAAGAGTAATTTTGAGATGTTTTTAATACACATTGGGAGTGTTGACAAAGAGAATGAAGTGTCTGTATGAATAGGACACTTTGAAGAAAAATGTTATAATCTTAAGGCATAAAAGTGATAGCTAATTGTATTCTCTGTGTGTTTGTGTACAGGATGTTATCAATTGTATCAGCTTCAGTAAACACTCATTTCTTTTCATAGCTGGTTCCAAAATATTGGTGAAAGATCCGAGACCTGCACTAGGAACACCCAGTCCAAAGCTAAGTGGTCAGCAATTTATTTTTTCTAAATGTCATAATTTTTAAAATTGATTGACTATAATCTTGATCATTTACTTGGAAAAATTCATTTTAGTGGGGAAAACCTACACATTTAACTATATTGAATTTAATACTTATGTAATGAGTTTTAGAACTTAAAACAATGTTACACTGTTATATGATGATATTCTAGATTATTATTTATAGCTCTCTGATTAAACATTACATTTACAATTATGTTTCTTTGCTTGTTTAAAGAAAATTTTGTCTATGTATTTGTGTTTCTTCTTTGCAGGAGAGAGTTATTTTGTCCATGAGTTCCACTGTGAATAACCTTTCAGCTATTCTTTTAAGATCATGATGCAGTATATATCTTTATTCTCTATTTTGTTGTGAAATTTTGTTTTATTTTTCAAAGGAGTAAGAAGAGGGCTTTTAATATTTTCTTTATTAATGTCTACTTGCATTGCATTAAAATTAAAAAAAATATCATTTACTGATCTCTGTTTCTCTTGAAAAAAATTTGTAAAGACCACAACATTATGGCAATATTACTTTAAAATTAAAATAAAATGTTATCTAAAAATGTAAGTAAATATATTTTTAAAGACTCAGATACACTTGGTATGAGAGTAGATCAGCAACTTCTTGAACTTGTCCAGTTTATTCTAATTGTTTAATTCGAAGAGCAAATTTAAATATCCAGTCTAGTCTTTACAAACATGAACTTTAAAGTCCTAGAACCTTGCTAATATTTTTATCTTATATATTCTTATCTCTGACTTTTGGATGTTGTTTTATATATCTGAGCTTCCATTTCTGTATCTTTAATAAAAATAATTATTAGAAATAATAGCTAGAAACAAAAATGTAGAAAAATTATATTAGATATAATTTTAGAAATGATAATTGAACATTGAACATCATCAAAATGAAATACAGTGGTATCCATAGGTCAGCACTGAATTTCATTCAGTTCTCATCCATTTTGGTTTACAGCAAGAATCATGGAAAAAAAATTGTGAACCAAAGTATCACTTTACACAATATTTGGCTTATATTAAATACTCATATATAAATGTTGTTTTTCAATATCAGGACTATATTTATATAATATGAATTAAAGGCCAAAAATAAAATGAAGCCCTTAGTATCAGATCTTTCCTTTGGCGGTACATATCGTTTAGTTGTATTGGCTCAAGGAGAGTTTTAGGATCTGATTTTAGTTAGGTTCAGAAATTCTTCAAGATTGTGTTAAAAAATGGGAAGCCCACAAACTTCTGAAACTTAAATGATTCGGTAATTAGTGGGAGCATACTGAATAGCACTCAAGCAATAAAAGAATTTATAAACATAAGTTTCAGCTATCAGTAGTTGAAAGCTGTAACAGTGAATGGCCAACATTTTTCAAGAAAGGTGCTTTATTTGAGGACAGGTGGACTTTTGAATGACAGCGTAAGCACATCATGTACATCTCGAATGTCCTGGACAAAATGTGTCCAAATTGTTAAAAAATTTAGAATGTGGAAAAGTAAGCAGCATAGTTCATATATTTTGCCCAATATGTATATATAAAGATTTGTGCCTCCATTATAAATATGTTTTCCTCAAGACCACATCAAATAGGTATAAAAAATGATTATATATTAAATAAAAAATAAATCTCAACAAATCACTGTGCAAATTTAGTCTTTAGATCTGATATTTGATCATGCTTCAGTTAAAGGTCAATGAGAAAATAAACGAATATTGCCATGTGTTTGGAAATTCAAAGCAAAATTAATACTGATGAATCACTTATAAATTAAAGAAGATAACATAGTAGGAAACACTGTACTACTACAATTTACTTACACTGAAAAAAATCTACATTTTCATTACATTGAAAAAAATCTCAAAATCAAAAATTAAAAACTGTAGCAAAAGAAAAGTTATTAGGGGATTTCTGTTATTTTATTATAATTATTAACACATTAATTGGAAAAATTGTTTTTATAACTTTTATATATGTGTACAATGAGCTCTAATTGTTTCTACTTTAATAAGCAGTGAAACTTATATCCTTAAAAGTACTTTTCCCATATTAAGTAATCCTTAAAATTAAGTCATCATCTTCAGTGTTTAAAGTGAAAATCGTGACCACTGAGCTACTTGCAAAGAAAACACATTATAAAAGTCAACACTGATTTCCTCATGTATGGGAGAGGAATGTTTTCACCTGAGTAAGAGAGTATTTATTAAAATAAGAACAATAGTTATCTTTAAAAAGAGAAAACACTAAGCAGAATTCCATGTAAAACCTTGCATGAGACCCAGTGATTGGACGAAACAGACAAGATTAACAGTCGGCCATTGGATCATGCCCAGGAGCGTGATTTTGTATTTGACAATGCTGTGGTATTTATGGAGCAGGTTAACTCAAACATACTTTGACTGAAGTATTTCAGTCAAAATCCAGACCATTTCTCTGACCTTTCAGCTATACGAGGGTTCAACTGTACAGGTCCTCTTTTCTCCAGACATACTTTTGTTAGCCAAAAGCTATGTTAACTGCTCACCCAGTCAAGGGCTTTTGTTCATACACAATGCCAACCTTTATGTAAAGCTCCCCCGTACCTACAGAGCATGTAGTTGTGGGATGTGGAATGTAGGTAAAACACAGCAGGCTGCATGAGAAGAATGTGGCGAAGTTTACATAGCCAGAGCTACAAGTTGTTCATGATAATGACCACAAGGCTCCCAAATATACTCATTTTACTGAGCTGTTATTTGTGAGCTAAAAGAGCCACAATTCCCCTATTTTATCTGCAGAATAAAAACAGCAATGTTAGCAGCCCCAAATGAACTAACCGCTTTCTTTTTCTCATTTAATCTCTCTAAAAACTCTATGATAATCCCATCCTAATCATGTGGACATTCAGGTTTAGAAAATTAAGTAATTTATACAAAGCGACATATTTATACAATGTACAGGAGAGAACTAAATATAAGCAGCATCACTCCAGGGCTAATCTTTCTGTTTTATTCTGCCACCATGCATCTCTCTCCCGTGTGAATTGGACAATTCTAGTGACATACCTTTTAATTCTAAAAATACCCATAAACCTCAAAGCTTGTCAATATGGTGCAGTTCTGTTCTTCTTCAGGAGTGCTATTACTGGGATAACTGAATCCAGAATTCTATAATGACAAAGTAGTGTTTTCTCCCACCTGTCTTCCGAGCCTACACTACAAATGGAAGATTTAATTCTGTGCTCTTCACCTATGAATCTAGCCTCAGGCTAGAAGGGCAGGCCTCTTGGGACTCACGTATAGACTCACTTGGCTCAGTAAAGTCATTTTCCTTTCCTTTTGAAAGGAAAAAAGTAATATTATAGGGGACCAAATATAAACGAAGATTATAGCTACCTGAGTTCTGAATTCAAGCTTCATGTATTTTATTGATGACACATGAACAAGTCTGGTTTCTCACTTACTGTTTTGATTTATCACAAGATAACTTTTACACTAGTTTAGTATACTGTCCATGTTTAACATTACTGTACATTTAGTAAAATATCATTGTACAGTAAACTAACATTCCTCAATGTACTGTTAGATACTTAAGTTTATGGAACACTGTAAAATTAAAACGTGCGGTTCATTTAATCTCTTCACAGTTCCTGATGATGTGTTTGCCCAGAATTATATATGGAAAGGCTCTTATAATTTCAAAGGAAGAAAACAACCCATGACACTAGCAGTCACGAGCTTCAATGCTTCCAGTGGGAGAGTCAATGCAACCCTAAGCAACAATCACATGGAGCTGCTCCTCTCAGGTATCGCGTTAAAGGCAGCAACGCAAACCGGGAGCCTCCGGCTTTCCATTTTGCCGTGATTTCCTCCTTTTCACTGACTCTTGTGCTGCGAAACATTTCTTCTGTTTGTGTTTAATGCTATCAAACTCATTCAAATCAAAATGTTGGGGGTTTTGGACTTACGAATGACCATGTTTGCACAAATAAAAATCTTTGAAGTTAGGAAGCTAAATTTCTTGAAGAATAATTTTATGCAGCTGGAGCCAGCTTAGCTTATTTTCTGTAATGTGAGAGGCCCCAATAAGAAATCAGTTAAAGCACAAAATAAAAGAGAGATAGTAGGAAATAGGAAAGGAGATGTAGAGAGAGAAGGGGATTTAAGGGTAGAAGCAGAGCAGAAGACGTGGCCAAGAAGTCAGAAGGATCAAGTGGGAGTGGATGTGTACTGGTTCCCTAAATAAATGCAATTATTATGCATGGCACACATAGCCAATAAAACAATAAAGGGACCCAAAGTGGAGTGCTGTGGTATTCATATTGCAGATATGAACTACAAGGGATGATGAAAGCATATGGGGAGTGTTTACAATTTAAAAATATATTACAGACGAAGACACATTGCTAGTATTTCTCTTCACGGTGTTCCCCTTGCTGTGAACACACATGCCCCATTGTTCTTGCCATGTTCCAAAGCTGTTCTGGAAGTCCACTTCTATCTAAAAGTATGATTTAAAATGTGTTAAATGCTGCTGCTGGGTGCCATCCATGGCAAAGGCAGACTCATAGACATGTTAAACTGTAGATGTACCATCCTTCTCCACCTTATTCAGTGTGTCTGGCATATGCAGCATCAGGCTGTTCTAAAATCATAATGACCACAGAAGGTAAATGTTTGCATCAGTTCAGGACATCGAGGCAGCCTCAACAGTGCAAGACACTCAGCAAAGAGGAATCCAGAACTGCTTCAGAAAGTGTCAAGAACAACGGAGTACATGTGCTCAAGGGGGAGCACACTTTTGAGAGGGATTAATGGCGATATTCTATACTACACTTTTCAAAACATGCACTGTATTTTTTCTAACTTTATCCTATATTCACTGATAATATAATATAATGTATAATAATTTTAATATAAAGGGATTAAAATAAAAGTATAATTATTGATTTTACAGATTATAGAATAAACACCGAGTCTCTTTTTGTATTACTGAGTGAACTTGCAGTAAGCTTATTGAGGTAAAACAATTAGAGTTTAAAGAATAGGCACAATTAAATGAAATGAATTGAAAATAAACCTATATAAATGAAAGAAAAGCATTTAAGTTGTGATTAATAATTTTTTCTACTTTAAAATGGAAATGAGTTTTGTTTTATGTAAAAGCAAAAAATAGACATAAATAACAAATAACCTCAATATAGATCCCTGCAAATATGGAAAACCAAATATAAAAATTAGAGTAATTAGATTTTACTTACTGTCTCCCTATCCAACAATTTCTCATTATAGTAACTTACTTTGGGTCAAAGTCAGTGTATAATTTCTTGATCTTCCCCCAAAATGTTCTTGTGATGTCTTATTAATAGGTTAATAATTAGATAAATCAGTGAAGAGTGGAATCAAATTCTAAATGATGGTTGCAAAATTTTTATCTCAAAACATTTCATACTATCTCAACATGTTAATGTTAAATAAACCTTAGCATGTTCACTGTTTTCAAAAGGGAACATGTGTGTATTTTTATTTCTATACTTATGCTATTTACTTTCTTGGAGTCAAATGCTAGTTAATTGTTATGACCTAGCTCAAATAGCCTTGTTTCACTAAATATTTTTCAGCGGCTTCAATGTGATGCGATTCCTCTGTTTTCTAACCATTTTTATCATATTCTCTCAAGTATTTTACTTAGTTGTGTACTTACAGTGAAGAAATATCTCCAGTACAGAAAAGAAAAGGGAAGGAGAGGAGAGGAGAGAAGAGGAGAGGAGAGGAGAGGAGAGGAGAGGGAGGAGAGGGGAGGGGAGGAGAGAGGAGAGGGGAGGGGAGGGGAGAAAAGGGGAGGAGAGGAGAGGAGAGGAGAGAGAGGAGAGGAGAGGACAGGAGAGGAGAAGAGAGGAGAAGAGAGGAGAGGAGAGGAGAGGGGAGGGGAGGGGAGGAGAGGAGAGGAAAAGAGAGGAGGGGAGAGGAGAGGGGAGGGGAGGGGAGGAGAGGGGAGAGGAGGGGAGGAGAGAGGAGAGGCGAGAGGAGAGGAGAGGGGAGGGGAGGGGAGAGAAGGGGAGGAGAGGAGAAGAACAAAGGGAAGGGGTCTAACACACCTGGAAAACACACACACACACACACACACACACACACACACACACAGAGAGCTCTTAACTCATTAGCAAAGAAAATATGAGGAATTTAAACTTTTGTTTATAGCCATAAATTTTCAAATTTGTGCAAAGAATTCATTTTGTTTGCAATAAAGTGATGCTGTTATAAAGAGTACTACTTAATTTCATAGCATATGTGATTACAGCATCACAGATGAGATTTATACTGAGATTTTAGCTGAGAGAGACATCTATGCGTACTGTGGAATTTCAGAAACATTTTGCATGAGGCCACCTTTGACATGAGCTTTGTTTTATTTCTTCTCCTATCACGTATTTTGCATGATATATTTAAGGAAATGTGATGATAAATGAAGCATAACTGTTTACACAATTAAGCAGACTGAAATATCCTTGTAATTTACAGGGGTCTATAAAAGCCAAGAAGCTCGCCTAATGTTACACATATATCATATTAAAGTACCATCTCATGCTTCTGTGAAGAAAATGAAGGAGGAAAACTGGGCCATGGATGGCTTTGTAAGTACAAGTATCCTAATTCTGCTGCTAATTTGAGTGACAAATTTATAGTTTATCCAAAAAAGGAAAAGTTTATAACTCTAGCTAATTATAAAATATATATATATATATATATATATTAGTGTATATAAATATTTATTATGGTCAAGTATCAACCCTGGGATCACTGGACTCTGATATGGTCTGCACACCTTTTTAGTGCACCTGTGTTTGTGCTTATGGTAGGACTATATATTATTCACTGATTTCATCAAACACATTCTATCTACAGTAAGCACCCTTGTAAAATATGGATAAAATATAAATTGATTTTTGACTGGAACCAATATGTAGGACATATGCAACATACTTACAAAACACATTAGAAAATTATTTGTTAATTAATTTATTTATTAATATCATTAAATTGAAGGACAAAGTAAAATTATGTATTAAGTTGTCTATAAGGAGGAACTCATATAAACTGCTCACTGAGGGGACACAGCAGCTGTGGCATCACCGTGACATCTCTGTCCAGTGAGTTAGGTGTGTGAAGGATCTGAATGGACAGCTGTGAGAACTAGCCTAGACTGACACCCTGGACACGCATCTTTGCTGCAGGATAAGCGTGAGCAATCACACTGTCCTCTCGACTCTCAAGGCTGCTTCTAAAAGGAAGATTTAATGAGAAAGCAGACAGTTATGGGACTTAGTAAATTCGGTTCATGTGGAAAATTGTTCATCCTGGTTTTATGTTGGGTACCATTACTTGTGGAGCTCCAAAGTACTCAATATGCTTAGACGGTCTGACTGTATTTTTTTATCAAAAACCAAACAAATACAATGAATTGAAGCTTTCAATATTTGAACATTGGTTTAGACAATATTCTTTATAAGTATTTCATTTTTTAAAATGAACTTGATCAGAATGTTCTTTGTAATAATAATCAAGCCAGACTTCCACCAGTGGTTTGGCATGCTTTTATTTTTAAGGGTCAGGATTCAATTTTTACAGCTATTCGGTATGGTCATAGTGTAGTTAATTCATTGTCACTTATTAGTACAAATGTCAGGATAAATTCACATTACTAGTTGGTTATCGGAATCACTAAACAATATCAACTCCTATTTTGTGTATATGACCAAATGACATTATCCATGTGAAATCTGTTAAAATATAGATTTGTATACATGTAAGACACATGGAGTAGTCAGCATTAGACACAGCTAAAAATCACAAGGTCAAACAGCCCAAGCATTTCTTTGTTTCTCGTGTGTACCAGAGGCCAGCAGAGAGAGCTCTATTTGCCACTATGGTGTCAGGTTCACCTCTGCTCTGGGCCTCATTCTGGGGCTGAGGCTGGAGGGGCAGAAGCCACTTGGGGCATGTTCTTATGTTACAAGGAGCCAGAAGCTCTTGGAGGGACACTGGGATCTGAATCAGAGTGACTTAGAATACCTTGACGTGTGCCCTTTGTACAAAGCAGCTCAGTTTACCTATAATGCACACATCCTATAATTCAACCATTTAACATACACAATTCAGTACATTTAACCATGCACGCAAATAGGTGTAACCACCAGTAAAACTGACTTTAAAATAATTTCATCACCTCACACGGAAATTCCAGAATAAAGTTATACCTCGGTTTTAGAGCAATGCTTAGTGTGTTTGCAGCCCTGGGTTCAATTCTCAGCGTAAAAGAAGGATAGAAAGGATGAAGGTGGTAGAGGGGAGAACAGGAAGGGTGAGAACACTCCACAAGCGTTAGCTGTCACCCACCCCATCCCATCTTTCCTTAGGCCTACCAACCACTCCTTTATTTTCTCCATGTATAGATGTCCTGTTCTAAATGCCCTTGTTTGTGAAGTCGTGCAATACATGGCCCTTCATGGCCAGCTTTAGCCCCTGAGTATAAGCAGAATGTGCCTCTTAATGGCCTGTGGTCAGTTGGCCTGCTGTGGACTCCATTCCTGTTCTAATGGCCCACCACAGTCATAGGCCGACCCAACCTCATGCAACAGGAAGTGCAGGCTGCCCTTCCTGTGCAGGTTGGAGACCAGCAGCCAGAAAGCATATACTGAGAACAGTAATGAAATAGACAAACAATAGCATTATTATAATTTAATTTTAACCTGACCATCAGTCACAGTTTCATCATGTTACTAACATTTTTGAACAGTATTTGTTTTAAACCAAAAGAGATCTCTATATCTGTGTCAATATACTAAAAACCAATACTGTGTTTTTCAATGCCATGATTCTTTAAAATCAGAAAATGTACTTTTGCTTTCATGACATACAATGTGTACAATGGATAGGAAAATAATATAGATGAACGGAGTACTGGATAATATTTATTTCACAATAGAATTTTATAGGTTTTAAGGCCAAGGAAAAATAGCATAGTCAATCTTTATGTTTAATCAGGTTTTTAAATAACTTTAGGTGTCGGCAGAGCCTGATGGAGCTACTTATGTATTTCAAGGATTTATTCAAGGCAAAGATTATGGTCAATTTGGACTACAAAGACTGGGTAATGTATTCATGTTGATTTTCATATATTTTATTATAATAGACATCATAAGAAAGCACAGTGAATTCTGTACATTAGTCATATTTACTACATTTTGAATTTGGCACTATCATACCTGTACATTGATACATTTAATACCGATAATTTTCAAAAAATGATTGCATTTCTCAAAATATCAAATCTCCACTTAGCAACAGGGTAAAACTTAGTTTTTCATCATTTTGGCCCTTAGTTAAGGGCTAAACTATCTTGCCCTTAAAGAAATAAAAGAGTGAAATAGATAAAAAAGAAAATATTGAATTGTACATTACTGAATCTTATTTCAAGAAAATTGGGTTGCTTCTTTTCAGTTTGAATACTGGTGCAATTTTCTTATTCTTCTGAAAAGGTGCCACTTTAAGAAGCTCCTTAGGTATGAAAAGGGAAAATAACTTAGAGGAATGGGTTCCATCCATTGGAGCTCTTTTATGTAAATTTTCTTTGGTGAGAAATTCAGGATTTTGTCATTTCATTTCCAACACTTCCAACAGTTCATAAATATTTCATGACTTCTTTAGGGCATATCTTAGAGATATAACTTAAGATACATCTGTAAACATAATTTCTGATCATAATGTTCCTAAGGTATACTGCCTCCCATTATTTCACATAGAAAAGTTGATAAAGAAAAATTTAGGCTCTAAAAATTATTATCTGACATTAATCTCTTAAAAGTCATTACTTTAAACATTTACATAAACCTACTGAGTTCCTAGAAAAATAAGGTATACAAAAAGATACTATTTTTTAATCTGTACAAAGTTGCTATTAATTAAATATAACATTTATCAAGATGGGAATTTGGTTGTCTCCAAATGAATATTAATATGTTACTTTCAAAAAAGGCCTTATCTAAAATTGCATTAGTTTTTAAAAATATGACCACCCACTGAAATGATATATTAACAGAGTTGATTCATTTAAATGCAAGATTTCATATATTTCCCAAAGTGTCTGAGACACTACTTGTGTAAAATTCTGTCCATAAAACAGGAGGTATTTCCTTTTGAGAAAGAACCATTAGCTATTTCCCTTTCCCTTGCTTCTGTACCAGTGTTGAAAAACCTAGCTTTCCTTACTTCCTGAGTCAAATGATCGCATCACTAATCCACTAGGCCTTCACACCTGTTCCATACACACAATCAAGTTCTGTTGCATTGAACTGTTCAACATTCATCAAACCTAACTCTGTGCACTCTTTCTAGTGTTCCAGTTCAATTCTTAACTCCTTTTTCTCTAAGTTGTTGCAGCTCCTAGCCTGTGCTTCCTCAAATCCATGCTGCTACTGTGAGATTTCAAGTCTCACCTTATTGCTGGGCAATTTATTTTTAAACACCTTCACTTGTCCTGCATGAATTTTGAGCACCTCAAAGAATTTGCTCCCTTACAGACTTTAACCATCACTCACTCTTGGTTTTCTGAACTTACTAGCTGTCATTGATTTTCGCATGTCAGGTTTTTATTGTTTGTTTGTTTTGTTTTGTTTTTTTGTCTTTTGAAACAGGTTTCACTGTGCAGCTTAGGCTGGGCTTGAACTCACTTTGTAGCCCTGGCTGTCCTCAAACTTGCAGTGATCCTCCTGCCTCAGCCTCCTGAGTTCTGGGATTACAGGCATGCACCACTATGGCTGGTCACATCTCCTAAATATATTGCTCATTTTCTCATGTCTAGGCTTATGATGTGGTTGTTTCCTTCCGTATTTGCTGTTCTACTGATTCTGCAAGGCAAATCTATGTTGTGTATCCTCCAGCAAACATTCTTTCCTTTGCTGGATGAAATTACTCTTCCCCTTTCTAAAACACATGGACCACTAATTCACAGCTGATGCACACATTTAGTTGTTTATCTGTGTTCCTAGTATGGCAGAAAGACCTCCATTCAGGGACTGTCCTTGTGTTTCAGTCTGTATTCTTTCCTGGAGAATACCTTCTTGATTGTGAAAAAAAAAATGTGGAAATGAGTTAGTATTTCATGAAATACTTTTGGTTAACTGCTTATTTCCAAGTGGATAGCGCGAAAAATGAGAGAAATCAATTGGTTTGTAAACAAAGCTACAATTATGATAAAATAGAGTTGATTTTGTATTTATAATTTATTTTTCATTTTGTAGGGCTGAATATGTCAGAAGGTTCAAATTCTTCGAATCAACCTCATGGTACAAATAGTAGTTCTGTGGCCATTGCTATTCTTGTGCCTTTTTTTGCACTTATATTTGCAGGATTTGGATTTTATCTTTATAAACAAAGGTAAGTTAATTGACTTTTAACTATGAAATATTCAACAAATGTATTTTCCGTGTTATTTCTCCTGCTTTCTTTCAAACCCTAACTTCCGTGTTTCCTGTGTCTTGAGAATCTGTATGCTGACTATTGCTACACTGGTTTGAAATCTTATTCCCCTGCCCAAGCTTGCAATGTCACTTGCACATTATAAAAGTTGCTCTGTTAAATTGCACAAGCATTCAACCCAACTCTTCCTCATTTTGCTGGTAAATTTTCAAGTATTGAACTAATTACGTTATTTTTACATCATCCATAACAAAACTTTAGGATTATAAAATTTAGGTTAAGGTTTAAATTCAAGAGGTGATACCTGCAACCTGATTTGAGAGAACTATGAAGAAGCTTGTGTGCCCAACCTGTTAGCTCACGTTACAGCACTGAATGGTTTTATAGCAGCAGACAGGTGGTGAAACCCTGAAACCTTCTGTTGCTTTGCAAGGTGATGTAATTAGTATGTTTCATTTGTCACAGACCATATATATGAACATATTATTAGTATGTCTTCTTTCTCCAGTACAGCATCTTGATGAGAGGCTTCAGTGTTCAGTTCTCCACTACTTGGAACAATCTTTTATCAAGAAAACAATGTATAAGTAACAAGATGATTTGATCAATATAACCTAAATTCATTTTCTTTCACATTGATATTTTTGTTCTTCATTAATCTTTAAGAGCCATGAATGACTTGTTAAATATAGGTATTAAGTATATGTGTGCTAAATACATGCAAAGTTATAGTAATTAAGAATTAGCAGCTATTTACACCTGGTCAATATCTTACCTTATAAAGAAGAATCAACATTGACTTTTTAAAATTAAAATAAACTGTATCAACTTTGGTTGTGACAAAAAGGTTTGTTAAGAATTTTTTCTTTAATCTGTCCAATAAATCCCTATTAGCTATATAAGTTATGCAGATATTTTCAGATATATATGGACACTAAACCTTTAACAAATACACAGTTTGCAAATATGTTTTTCCTTTCTGTGGGTTTTATGTTTACTTTCTTGATGTGGGTTATATGTTTACTTTTTGATATACAGGAGTTTATTTTTCTTTTGAGTAAGGTTATTTCTTTTTCTACATTGTGCTTTTCATGTAACATCTGAGAAGCCACTGCCAAATCCAAGGTCATAAGTGTTTGCTATATTTCTTCCAAAGAATTTTATAGATTTAGTTCTTAGATTTATTATTTTTATTCACTTTGAATTAATTTTTATTTCACAATATAAAATTTTCTTTTAAATCTTGCTGATTTTTTTTCTTTAAATTTAATGGCAATTATTTTAACCTCCATAATTCTTTCTTAATTAAAGTACGATGATGCATCTAATTTTATTGTAAATTTGGTTTGAAAAAGAGAGATATAATCCAAGAGTTTTAATAAATAAAAGTACAGGTTTTAAGTTTTCTTCAAATAAAAAGATAGCTTTTTACAAATAATTATTGTCACAGAAGTCACCTAAAAGTTCAAATTACAGAAAAATCTAGAAAATGCATATTTAGTTTAATCTATGAGGTCAGGGATAAACACTTTAAAAATACACCCTTTTGAAGAGTTAGACCTCAGAAATAGGTAGACGTTGGTCAGCCTTTGTTTCAGGAAATATGTCAAGAAATTGTACAATGAGATATGGGAAAAAAGAAATAGAAATATGTCTTGATCAAACCTGAGAGAAACAAATGAAGAAATTCCACGCCAGCAGCCTATGGCAGTCAGTCCAGAACGCATGTGATGTGGTAATTAAAGCAGTTGTTTAGTTGCCTGAGACTCTTTGGAAACTGTTTTCACAACACGCATAGCAGAATAGTAATTTCTTTGAGAGTTTGAATTTATCTGCCCCAGTGTACATTTATTTTTTAAAAATCAAATTGATTATTTGTATACTGAGGTGCTGGAAGTCACTTCTCAAATTAGGCGTCAGCGTTCCTCATCAGTTCCCGTGGAATTTCCTTCTTCATGGTTCAAAACCAGCTCCTTACCCTCTGATCTCGGGTTAAACTTTACCTCCCTGAGATGCTTTCCTTTGTTAGCTCCAGTGAGGGGCTCCATTTTCCTTGACTTACAGCAGTTCTCACGCCCTAGTTTTTGTATACGTTTCCTTTGTGTAGTAGTACATACCTGTAGTGTGTGCCCTTTGCAATCATGTGTACATGCACAGAATACAAGTTGGTTGTTTTCGTGATCTCCTTCCTCCTGTCACCCTAATAATTACGCTTTCCCCAGGTCCTTCCTCATGGATGTTATTAATCTCACCTCCTGTTTACGGAATGCAGCTTTTGCATTCATGGAGGTTATTAGGGTTCTGTACGCGCACATCTTTATCCCACCTAGTTAGCTCCCTCTTCCCCATGCTTCCTGCCCTTGGTCTCTTGGACTCTTCCCCATTTGTAAGGGATCCTTTCTCTTATCTCCTTTTCCCATCCATGATCTCAATGACTTTACAGGTTTCCAAAATATTTACCAACTGCGTTCAGTGATGTCTGATATATAATAGGTGCTTAGCAAATGTTTAATCAATATATAAATGATAATTAAATCAAATTCTTCATGATTATAATTTATATATGTTACATATTTCATAATATTTGTCATATGTATTTCATAAATACTTTTACTTATATTCATGTTGGTACTGCACATACATGTCATTATAAAAATAGTCGTTCAGGATTTAAAAGGACAAGCTGTTCAATTTTGATTTATTGAGTGCATGGTTTCTCAATTACTTTTCATTGGTATTATCCACTAACAATCGTAACCAAAGTGTATTATGTTTGAGTTCCATTCTGCTGTTCCTTTAACACTGACACATTGCTAATCAGTGTGCTCCCTAACAGGACTGCACCCAAAACGCAGTACACAGGATGCTCAGTTCACGAAAACAACAACGGCCAGGCAGCCTTTGAGAACCCCATGTACGACACCAACGCCAAGGCGGTGGAAGGGAAGGCCGTGCGCTTCGATCCCAACCTGAACACAGTCTGCACAATGGTATAACGCGGCCGTGTCGGCCTTCTTCAGTCTCGGGAGTCGACACACAACACAGTGCACATGTAGTTCACTGCTAAACAAAGCACACTTTTCAGGACTTGCTGGGTCACCTTTTCCTGAGGAACGATAGAGAAGAGTGTTTTTTTCATAAACTGGATCATAATCCTTCTTCATGTTTACCGTGGAGAGTTTTACAGAAATCCGGCTGCACTCTGGGAGTGCTTACTCACAGTTTATTTGCTTTTTTTAAAAAGGAGATTATTCTAAACATAAACTTATTTGCATATATTGGAGGAGCATCCACTATCAGTATTTCTGTGCTTTATAAAATATATTAGAGGGACTGGGTTAAAAAAAAAAAAAGATATAGGCTAGGAAATAAGAGCTATACTTACAAGAATCAATAGATCACTGGCTTCTCTTTAACTGTCTGTCACCGAGCTGCATCACACCCGGAAATCTGTATCTCATGTCACTACCGGCTGTTCATTCTTGTCAACCACGGCGCTGTTTTTTCTTATTTCACAGGGATTTATGAATGAATCTTGCCTTTAAATGTTTATGAGCTCATTTAAGCCACAGAAGAGATAAGCTTGCCCACCCCACCTTGGCTTCCCCATTTTTGCTGCTTTTCTTTAGACTGGTTATTTTAGTTCATGCAAATTGCTACATCTCAGTGCTTTGCTCCTGCCTGATTTCCCTGCAACAATCAGCAGAACCACTTTCGTTCAGTGAGTCACAGGGTAGCGTTTAATTCCTTGCTGTAATGTTTTTTCATCCACAAACCATGTTGACTGGAAAACACTATCCAGAAAGATGGTATTTTGCAGTTATCTGAGACACCAAACTTATAACCATCCTTCTCCAAATTCACAACGCTTTTGAGAGACCAAATAAAATCTGTTAATTCTATACTATAATTCGTGAAATCTCAATGCATCTTTCCAGTGAGCCTTCAAATTCAATGCTTTTGACAATTTTCAACTTTCTAACAATGAGTTAGAAATGTACGTTGTCTAGCCGCTTAACATAATGAGTAAAACAACAAAAAACTTTCAAATCACCAAAATAAATTTATTACCTACATTTGTGAATTTATCAATTTTCACATGCTTTGAAATTTCTATATCCCTGATTCATAAAAAGCAGTCTTTAAATACAACAGGTTTCTTCAACCATCGGATTATGAAATGTGTTGTAAGTTACTGGTGGCTCATTTACAGCTGCATCACACATAACATAACACCAGCATCTTTTTATGCTTGGTCATTGCGGTTCCTTTATTTTTAAGCATTTTTCACTTCATCGCGTAAAATCATGCACCTGGTGCGAGCTCCTTATTGTTGTCCCTTTCAAACACGGATGGCTCTGTGAATGGTCTTGACCTTCTCTGCCATTTGACAGAGTGCTTAAGAGAGACCGCTGTACCTGCGAGCACTGCTTGGATCTATCTCTGCATTCAGTGAATTCCTTGTAACCCACTTTGAGATACATTGTTTTGGAAATTCATACAATTTTCTCAACATTGTACTCCTATGGACAGGATGCAGTTTTCAATCTTACGCCATCAGTTATTTATTCTTGTTTATTCCAATGACTGCAATAACAACGATTCATTCACTAATGTTAAGGTTAATACATTTAAGATCTTGTTTAAACAATGTTTCTTCTGCAACTGGCTACTCCTCTTATATTAATGCATACACTTTTGTAAAGAAGTATATTTTTATGAAAAAAAAAGACTTTGTAAAAGTACGATGTAAATTTTCAGTGCAATGTAAACAAAATAAAAATGGATAATTGCTTTTGTAAAATGTGTATTTTTTTGAAAATCATCTGCAAATGTTCTGGGTAGTAAAATGAATAAATATCCCACAGTTATTTTTCTGTTGTTGTTAGCTTCCAAAATTACCTATCACCTCCACTTGATTAGTAACATAGTAATAAATATTTTCCTCTTTCATATTCTATAGCTCCTCAAATGTGACACTCTCTGAAAGGTATTAGTAATTCTGTTGAGCAATGGTCCACCACTGGTGATGCATGGATACCAGTACAATGGCACCTGTCTTTCCTAAAATTAAACAGCCTTATTGAGGGTTAACAATAAGGGGATAGAATCTTACTCCAACCCTTCTCTCTGTGGGTAGTGAAGGAATCTTGAAGGCAGGGAGAGGAGGACGTTGCTTATTTGATGACAACAAGAGAAAGTTTCAGTGTTTTATTGTGAGGCTGGACATGCTCACCATGGCCCCTACAAGTCACGCTTTCCTTTCCGAGGGTGAGCTGAGTTATTCCCTTCTTGAGCCACTATGAGATTCTAATGTCAGAAGGTCCTCGGTCAGATAAGTGCCCTGTTTCTGCTCATGTTCAACTCAGGATAGAATGGGTTGGTTTCCGGAAAGTTCTAGTAGTGTTCCTTACAAAACAACCTGGAAGAGCTTTGCTACTTGGTTAATTCATAGCTTGTTCCTAGCTGGTTAAAATAGCATAAGAACACCATATCAGAAGTTTCCTTGAATGTAACTCTTTTACTAATACAATGCATATTTAAAGGCACCAATAATTTCTAATATTTCTGTAATGTACTTTCATAAAATATTTAGTGTGCTCTATAGATACAACTCAGTAATAGTCACACTAAAGTATCATTCTGTTTTGAGGGTATGGTATAAATTTGGTGTATATACACATGGAGTACTTCTCTGCCATAAAAGGGTAAACTAATATTCAAAAAGCAAATTGACATTTACCAAGAAGCAGGATTTCTGCTGATGTAGTAGGTAAACATTGTTTTGACAAAGCAATGGTTTCTAAAAAATTTAAAAAGTTCTAATCCAAATTTAACGCATTTCAACTTTATTATAGAACTTCATTTTTCACAAAAAAAGTATGTATATTTCAGAAACTCAAACTTTAGCCTTTATACTCTGTTTACTACCTTTTCATTTTGGAAATAAAATCTGCAATGGAATTATAGCCTATTTGGTAATTCTCCACCTTTTACTTGTTCTTTGCACTTTTATTTTGTCAGTGGTTCCCTTATTCCTCTCTTCTGACGCATTTCTTAACATTAACACTGTCTTTTACATTTCTTCCGCTTGCATCTTTTAAAACGTGTCTTTTCATTATCTCTTCTTCACTCTATCCTCAACTGTTTCAAAAGTCAGCAATTTTAGTGAAAGATTAAAGTGCTTAAGAGCCTTTTTGCGACCTTCATCTGCGTAAGACTACTGAGGATGTATCTATCCAGAGTTTCTTGATGCCTGAGCCAATGAGGAGCTGTGGAAGGGCAGGCTTTATAAACCCTCACTCACAATAAAGAAGAAAAAACAGAAGCACGTGCTTGGAGTTTAAAGCTGAATAAAATAATTGAGTGCTACTTTCTTTAAAACAAAATGAGACTAGACAGCCCGTCCAAGTACTAATTGTGAATATCTACAAATGTAAAATGGGCAAAGTTGAAGCGAGCTAAAATACATATTCTTAAAAATTACAGAAACACACAATGCTAATAACTAAGAGTGGATAGTTTGAATTTTGAGTGGATTATTGCTTATTTTATTTTTTAGTATGACTGGAGATAAGGCTAAATTAATCTAAGAAGACAGAACACGGGAAGTGTTTTTCTGTCATCATTTTCATCAGTTGGTGTTCTAAAGTAATTTAAAAGCAAATTTAGAAGTTTCTGGAGAATAGAAACGGCCATTAGATTTCATACATCAGTGTATGAAGCGGTGGACTGTTGAACAACTGGCACATACTTCTCCAACTTTAACAAGTCCCTGTGTGTAATAATTTTATTAGTTCTCAGAAAGAAGAATATTCCACGCTTTCAAGTTCATATTAATAAATTGCATTGCAAAATATAAACCAAAAAAATCTATGTTCGAATTTTAATAAGATCCAAGTTTGCAGGTAGTTTTAGCATGCTTGTGAAAATAGAGATGAACTTGTGTGTCTTGGCAGGAACAGTGGATGTAAAAATGCAGACAAAAGTACAGAAATCTATATACTGTGTGAACCAAAAGCACTCAAATGCCATCTTTCTCAGCAAGAGTTTCTCTCATATCCTTGAGTTCAGCTTTTGTATCTGCAGAAGAAATTGATTCAAATGGGATGTGTTATCTGGAAACTATCACTTGACAGCATTAAAATAAACATGTACTAACAAAAAGTAAAGTTTTAAAGGGCAGGAACAATTTCATTATAAAAATAATTAAACACAAAGTTAGTAGAGAGAGACTTTGAAATCTATGTCCCCCATTTTGGAATGTTTTAATGTATAAAATGAAACAAAAGAAAAAGTAACCAAAATAATATAAAGTTCTTTGAAATATTCTTATATATAAAGTCTACATTTCTCTGCTAGAAGTAATGGTCATAAGCAATATTTTGAAATCTACCTAACATTCAGCATGACGTGAAACTATGGGTGATTTTTATGGGTGACACAATCAGGCAGTATTATTTCTGCTCTCTTTATGAATGAATAAAATACAAGTTAACTAGAAGATCAGTGAAGAAAATGGTGTAATTTTTTTTTTTTTGTCCAAGTTTACAAATTCTTGGACTTCTGTCTACATACCAAATTAGGACACCCTTCTGTTTCCCAGGATGCACTTTATAGTAAGTAGTGTGATGAGTGAGGGAAGGAGACTTGATTTGCTTTGTTGTCCTTTTGGAAGTCAAGACGAAGTGTGAGACTTGGACATTATTAGGGACAAATCCCTAAAAGAAAGCATCATTAATAAATTAACCATTAAAAGAATATTTTTTCTAGCATAAAAGAAGCATGTACAATGTTAACACATATAACTTATATTGGAAGAATAAAAATATATAATAAACATATAGGTCTTAATATGAAGCACTTTACCTTGTCAAGCTACAAAATTTCCTAAGCATATTAAGGAGATGTCATAAAATAAGTCCATATATGATGTCTATGTGTTTTTTTTTACATTATTTGAAATTGATCTTATGAAATATGAGAGAAATATGATGTTAGAATATATTGAGTGAAATACTTCTCTTTTCCTAGTGTAATAATTAAGATAAATGAAAATCATTTGGATTTGTGACATCAACATATTTTTGAGATTATTCAAAATGTTGTAAAGTTCATTATTATGAAACTGCATTTTAGTGTACTTTAGCACTGCAGAAAACTTAGACATTTCCATAAAAAATGACAATGGGCTGTTCACAGTGTCAGTGAAAAATATATCTTTTTTATTTCATTTGTATCTGTTTCCTTAGAAATTTTTATTAGTTGATGATCTACGTCATTTGCAATTTAAGAAAAAATTCCACCCATAATTTCAATAGAAATTAAACAAGATAGATGAAAGTAAAATTTATATTTAATGATGATTAGTGGATAAGGAGTCAATATTCCTTTTGGCTTCATAATTGTACTCTATCTGATTTTCAAAGGAAATAATTACAGATAAATAGTTGAAATGGTGTTTTAAACCCTTCACTGATTATGTATGTTGAACACCAATTATCACTAATGTGTGAGCAACATAAAATACTCATTGATATGCAATTATATTAGAAATATCCCATACATGTAAAAGCAACTATTTACAAGTACATGCAAATTTAAACAGTGAAAACTCCAGTATTCCAAACACTCTTCCTCCCTCCCAACTTTTCATTTTTTCCCCAAACACATATTTAAAGAAATATAAATATCTTGAGGCAATAGTCTAGTTACCTATGGTTGCCAGAGTGTAATTTTATTTATGTTTATTTTCCCAGAGTACAATGGGTTAATTTCATTATACAAACAATAGTTTTCAACAAAATGGGGGTGAAATTAAGTACCTTTTACTTCAGTGAGACTATGTTTGAAAGTATATTCGGACTCAGAAGTGACAGTTGAATTAGAAAGCACTTGTGATTTGTTCTATATAAATAATGATATCTCATTTAAAAATAAAAATATTTTAAAGGCTTTCATACTTTTAATTTTAAAAAAAACAGGTTAAAAGATGAATACTTCTATAAATACATCAACTTGTCTCATTCATAGAATTTGGCATGGATCCATTGAATAATAATTATTTTTGTAAGATATTTAAATACTTTCACCTTAATTATTAAAATTGTTCAGAATAAGACTATTAGGCAAACTGGTAATTTTATTTGAGATAAAAATTATCCTAAAAATAAATGTAAATAGTGAAGAATATTTGAGCCAAATTTTTATGTTTGTTCTGCAGTATAGAAAATAAATATTTCTCCAAGTATATTAGATGTTTTTACTTTTTAAACTATTTTAACATATCTTATACTTGAACAGAAGTTGACTTCTTTGTAATTATATTTTGAATACATATATTTTAATGCATCTTTTTTCCTTGAAGCAATTATCCTACTCAATACAATTTTTTGACAATACATTTCTGTTACTATGGTGTCTGTCAAGTATTTTTACCTTGAGTGCTGCTGTGCAATTAATCACAAGGCTTCACTGTTGAATGGGAGTTTAAAGCATTCCTCGGTACTGTAATAAAATACACAGTATATTATATACCTAGTGTCTTAATAAGTAATTTTTAAATTTAATAATAACTTCATTGTTTATATAACCCTCACTCTCTCTTACTGTATAGTGCAGTTAATGACAGTTCAACAAGCAATTATTTTCAGAAAGTGTTTCTCAAATTTTAATGTATACACATTTCAACACACTGTTTTACTAATAGATTTCAAGTCTATCTTGTTTAAAAACACAGTATCAGGGCAGGTGTGGCGGTGCCTGCCTGTAATCCCAGCGCTCCGGGGCCTGTGAGTTTGAGGC